GGAGCTGAGGAGGGAAAAAAAACAAACAAAAAACCATGCATTTTCCTCTCTTGAGGGCCCAGCTGGATGGTGAAGGATCCAGGACTGCTAGAGAAATGTTCACAATAAGAAATCAGTGGGAGGCGCTCCAAAGCCTAGTCCCAAGAGTTTGCTGGTAGAAAAAAAGTAAGAGCTTCTGGGTACTGGGGTGATACCTGTAGCCCCACCCCTATATTGATTATACCTGAATTATTTCCCATATCTTTTCTGACTCTTAGTTTTACCATCTAGACAATGGATATTTTGCCATATGGGCCAAGGCTGTCTCAACATGGTAGGAGGAATTATGTGTGTACAGGGGTAGAAGTTGTCCCCATTTGTCCCCAGTCATCTTATGAGCATTTGCCCCTGATGTTCATTATCATTTTTTGTTTAAGTTTTTAATATCTGAAGCTCTATTCTGGCCACTGTGGAGAAATAGTTCAGACATAGCTTCTGCCCTCTAGAAACGTCTAGTCCAGGGGTGGGGAACCTACAGCCTCGAGGCCACAGGTGGCCTTCTAGGTCCTTGGGTGCGGCCCTTTGAGTCCAGGTTTTACAGAACAAATCCTTTTATTAAGGGGATTTGTTCTGTGAGGTTTGGGGTCAGTCAAAGGGCTATAATTGAGGACCTAGAGGGCCACATGTAGCCTCAAGGCCACACATTCCCCACCCCTGCTCTAGTCTAAAACAATTTAGAGTAGAATACAGAATACATATTAGAATTTGTAGTCTAATACTGATGGAATGCACATGGTCAGCATAATGACATGAAGAACGAATGCATTTCATGTACCTCCCTCCCAAGCGCCCTGCCTCTGATGTACAGTTAGGAATGAGGTAGGTTTTATCAAGCAAAGCCTGTCATCTACCTGTCACAGATGCTGGGAAAAGGATTACTGCATTGTCACTTACAGCTTTAACATTTTGTGATTTTTTAAAAAATAAATATGATTTTATTGGTTTTACATTATATCCATTTCCAAATGTCTTCTCCTCACTCCACCCCACCCCCACCCCAATCAAGCCACCCCTTTTTAAATTTCAAAAAAGAGAAGTTAAGGCAATTCAGCAAAACTAACCAACAGTTGACCAGATCTGATAGGATATGCAGTATTCCATACCCATAGGCCCTCCCATCTCTTCGAGGAAGGGAGTAAGGTAATTTTTTTTCTCAACTCATCTCTGGGGTCAGGCTTGGTCATTATAATTATACAACGTTTGATTTTGCCTGTTCCTTCTGTTTAATATTCTGGGAGTCTTCCCGGGGTCAGATTTCTCTAACATAATAGAATTCGAATAAGCAATTTTTAAAAGTTCTTTCCAGCTCTGACATTCCAGGAAGTGGGATTTTAGGACTTATTGAAATGATGAGAGAGGAATCCTTTGGCAGGAAAGAGCTGTCAAGGCAGAGAGTCTTAGCATCGAAAGGGCTCTAGGAAATCATTTAGACCAACTTCTTGCCAAATACAGGAATGACCTCGAAAGCATCTCTGCCAGGTAGCCTGTCACTAGGGAGATAATGGCTGGTAAGTGCTTTGCAAAGTTTAAGGCTCTCTATAGAAGCGTGCATTGTTATTCCAGATCTGCTTGAATACTTCACTTCTTGGGAAACTCATTCTATCGTTGCAAAGTTCTGATCATTCAGTAATTTTCTGGTCTTGAGCCAACATTTGTCTCTCTGGCACTTATACACATTGCTCCTAGCCCTGCTGTCTGGAGATGGGACCCAAAGAAATGCACCGATTTCCTGTGCCACCCCACAGCCCTGTACATGCTGGAAGGAAGCTGTCATCCAAGCTCTGGCCGAGTTATCTCCTCTGTAGAGCAAATGTCCCTGAGTTCCTTCCTCAGACAAGATGGCTCCCTCACTTTCCTAATCCCCCTCTAATTTACCACAGTCTTTTTTAAAAACGTGACATGTTTTGATCACACATATGTGTGGTTAATCAGGCCAGCAGTTACCAAAATGCTTTGGCTGTTCTGAGAAGAGGAACAATGCCTTTAAAAGGTAGTTAGGCTCTTTCATAAACCTTCTCAAGTGGATCAGAAAGGAAACTCAGCTGTGCCTTCCCCTTCAACTCACAGAGACTCCCCTGGCCAATCTCCTCTCCCTAATCTCCCACTCAGTTCTTTACCCTACACCCTCAAAAGCCCTAATCTTTGACTTGTATGTGATGTCCGTTAACTCACAGCCCATCTGCGTATATCAATTAGCATAATGTTTTTTTATTTTACTCTGTGAAACGATTATAAAGTAACAAGGGGATTTTTTTTTAAACGAGAACTTCAACAGTTAAGGAAGAGGTATGTTTCTAAAATTTTTACAACCGGCTCTCAAAAAAAAATCCCAAAAACCATGTGTTCCACACTTTGAAGTTTAATCTTCATCAACAAAAGAATAAAGCAAGCCCTGATTTGTAATGGTAGCCAATTTCTGAGGTGTTAATGCCCACACCAAAAATTTATCTGGAGAGCCATTGTGACCTGGCTCCAGCACATTCCTGAAGATCAATTCAATTTAGCCAATATTTATTAAATGCCTACCATGCACTAGAAACTGTGTTAGATGTAGAGGATACAAAGGCAACAATGAAACATTCCCTGGCCTCAAGGCCTAGTAAGAGGAATACAGCTGGTACACAGAGAAGTAAATATAAAGTATACAGTATACAAAGTAATTATTTTCTTTTTTGGAGGCAATTGGGGTTAAGTGACTCACCCATGGTCGCACAGCTAGTTAAGTGGCTGAAGCTAGATATGAACTCAGGTCCTCCTGACTCCAGGGTGGGCACCCTATGCACTGTGGCGCCACCTAGCAGCCCTTATGCAAAGTTATTCTAAGAGGGAGATAGCACCAAGGACTGGGTGCCTATGAATATGGGATGGGGTGGGGGGGAGAGAGGAAATCAGGTCTTGTGCGAGAGGACTTGCGCAAGCTTGAGGACTGCTGTGAAGGCAGCTAGGGAGTCTGTTTAGCAGAGGTGAAGGCAGGCTGCACTTCAGACACTCTGGTGCCCCTGGGCCTTTAGAAATGGAGTGTCAGAGGGAGAATGACAGTAGGCCAGTTTGAAACAGAAAATACCTGAAATAAAATTCATGGGAAAAACTGAGCATATGAAATAAGGCTGGGAAAATAAGTGGGAGCTAGATTATAGAGTGCTTCCTTTCATCTCTAAATTCCTATCATTGAAATGAGTGTTGTTTCCTTCCGGCAATCAGACACTCCCTTTGGGGATGCTGTCATTGCTCTGCAGCTTCCTCAATGGTGGCAGATAATCATCCTCCGAGGGTCATTCTGAGTATCGAGGCAAAGGGACAATGAAAATAACACCAGATTTCGGGTGCAAGGACCTGGTTCTGCCATTTGCATGCCCTTAGCCAAGTCAGTCCTCTTCTTTGGCGTTTCAAATTTCCCCTTTTGTAAAATGAGGCAGTTATATTTTGATTATTTTTTTTTACTCCTTTTTTTTAGGCAATTGGGGCTAAGTGACTTACTCAGGGTCACACAGCTAGTAAGTGTCAAGTGTTTGGTCTAAGGCTGGATTTGAACTCAGATCGTCCTGATTTCAGGGCCAGTGCTCTATCCACTGCACCACCTAGCTGTCCCAATTTTGATAATTTCTTTGGGTCCCTTCAAGTTCTTACTGACTTCATCTAACAAGGGTCAATCTGGAAGGACCCAGGAGCCCCTTCTCACTCCCTGAGGATCTCCTAGGTGTTTGTTCTTGAAGACTCCAAACCAAGCTGATTCTTTCTCCCTTGCTTATTGTGTGGTATTCAATTGTTTTCAATTGTGTCTGACTTCGGGACCCCATTTGGGATTTTCTCGGCAAAGATACTGGAGTGGTTTGTCATTTCCTTCTCCAGCTCATGTTACAGATGAGGAAACTGAGGCAAAGAGGGTTAAGTGACTTGCCCAGGGTCACACAGCTAGAACGTGAATGAAGCTGGATTTGAACTCAGGAAGGTGAGTCTTCCTGACCCCAGGCTGGGTGCTCTATCCACTGTGACACCTAGCTGCCCTCCCTTGCATATACTATCGGACAAAGTCCAGAGGAGGATGTCAGGTGATTACTTCCCATTAGGGGATCCTACCTCATAATTTGGAGAAAGGCTTTGGGAAGATGAAAATTCTTTCATCCTTTCTTGTAGAACTTCAGCAATCCTGGGTTTGAGGTCTTTTCCCAGTGATTGGCAGGAAACAACTCTTGTAGGCCAGGCGAATGGAGCCTCCCCAGGTTGGCTGAGGACAGAGGGATGTGATCACTGAGCAAAGCAAACGTGGTACTGACCCATAATCCCTTAAGCCAAGAGGATCCAGGAGGGGCCTGGTTGCCATGGCAATGATGCGTTGGCCAGTGGTAGGGATGAGAGTATCAAGTCTGGAATTGGCCCTGACTGCCATGTAGATAAAAGCCCAGAGGGAATGTGAGGTTGAGTATCCCCTATTAGGGGCCCCATCTCAGTTTAGGGGAGGGCTCTGGAGAGATCAAGGAGGTGGATGTTGAAGGCATTTTTTTCTTCCCCAGACCCTATCTGAGCCATGGTTATAGGCAGACTACAGGGCAGCTTTCCAGGGCTAGAGTGGAGAAGGAAACAGTCTGGAATGGAGATGGTCGTGAGAGTGGCAGGGGAGGGGAAAGGGAGAAGGAAGAACCTTGGACAGGGACAACAGCCAGTGTCCCCAAGGAGTTAGGGCAGCATCCACAGGAACTTGCCCAAACCCCCTTCTCTGAAGGGTTTATTAGATTGATAGATTTTTAAGATTTGGAAGAGACCTTAAAGATTGCCTTATTCAAGTTCCTCAGTTGAGAGACAAGAAGGTTTAAGGCCAAACGGACTGAGTGATTTGTCCAAGGTCGCACAGCTAGTTGATGGCACTGCTAGATTGTGCCCTCTCCCACTGAGGATTCCTAATTCAGCTCTGAAGTCTTCAGCTAGGAATGACACCCATTAGCTTCTCTGCTTTCTCCCTACAGCACCGTCTCTGGGTTCTTCACTGCCCTTGAAACATTTCTCTTCCTTAGCATTTATTTTCACTACTCCTCAATCTGTAGCTGTAGCAGAGACGGAGGCGAGAACCTGCCAGTTCAGGTCCGTATTCTCCCATCCCACCACTCACTCTATTTGCCTCTGCTCTCTGGGGGCCCCAAGAAACGCTGGAGAGAGAGATGGAGGATAGAGAAATGAAGTTGTATCGACTAAGATAGATCAGAAGGCCTGCCTGCATCTTGTGTTGATGTGGGTCCCTTGGATATAGAGAGCCCTAGACTGGATATTAGGGAAGATATTATAGAATTCAAGGGGAGCAGGAGACACAGTCTGTGTCCTCAAGGAGCTGCCAGTCTGATGGGGGAGATAGCACATGCACACAGAGGTCATGAGCAGAGAAACAAGGGCCCATTATTCACATATAATAATAATAGCTATCATAGGAGATACAATGTGGTGTAGGTTAGTGATATCAAAGTCAAATAGAAACTGATCCCTGTGTATTGACTTAGAAAAACCACAAATTAACATTTATGTTGTGCTGTATTTTATTTATTTTGTTAAACTTTTCCCAATTAGATTTTAAGCCTATTTTACAGCATCAGGGAGTTTTTCAGGGCAGTGAATTTGACACCTCTGGTATGATGATCAGAGGGGTTAGCCTTGGAGTAACATCCGGGGGTCCAGCCTTGTCTCTGATACACACTGGCTTTGTGACTAGTAAGAGGTCATGTGACCTCCCTGTACTCAATGCGACTCAACACTATAATCTGCAGAGAAGCTTTTGATTTGAATTGAAAGAACTTACATGGGACTGGACCAAACAACAAATATGTGTGTGTAGACACACACACACACACACACACATGCATATATACATACACACATACACATACATATATGTATGTGTATATATGTGTGTGTGTATGTGTATACATACAGACATATACACACACTTTTAGATACATACACACACATAGATTCATGTATATGTATGTATAGTATCTGAGGCAGCCGTAGTGCAGTGGATAGAGTGCCAGGCCTGGAGTCAGGAACTCATCTTCCTGAGTCCAAATCCAGCCTCAGACACTTACTAGCTGTGTGACCCTGGGCAAGTCACCTCACCCTATTTGCCTCAGTTTCCTCATCTGTAAAATGAACTGGAGAAGGAAATGGCAAAACATTCTGGTATCTCTGCCAAGAAAATCCCAAATGGGGTCACGAAGAGTCGGACACATCTGAAACGAATGAACAACAAAACAATATTTCATATATACACACAGATATGTATATGTATACTATTATACGATGTATATCTACATAGCTTTGGGTATATGTATTTATGGCACATACACATGGATATATTCATATATATACACACATGTTTTACGTTTTGCAAAGAACTTTGCACACATTATCTCATCTGATCCTTATAACAATTCCAAGTAGATACTATTATTAGCTTCATTTGAAAGGCGAAGACACTGAGGTGTTCTGAGGGTTTGCCCCCAAGTCACATGTAAGTGTTGTAGGTGGGAGGACTCCAAGTCCTATGCTCTTTCCCCTGGATTTGTGTGCTTAGGTCTTCCCTGAGAGGAGGGGGGCAGATTGCCATTCTCTAGAGTAGAGCAAAGTAAGGATGGGAGGGTGAGGGTAGGAGTGAGTGTGGGGGCGGGGGCAGGGAAGGTCTTGGGTTCGACCTTGTCCCCAGCTGACCCAGTTTCTTCACTCCCGTCTGTCTGTCTGTCTGTCTGTCTGTCTGTCTCTCTCTCTCTCTCTCTCTCTCTCTCTCTCTCTCTCTCTCTCTCTCTCTCTCTCTCCCCCAGCTGCCAGGGGCCCCAGCTGACCATGAACAAGATGAAGAATTTCAAGCGCCGCTTCTCCCTGTCTGTGCCCCGAACAGAGACCATCGAGGAATCTCTGGCTGAATTCACTGAGCAGTTCAACCAACTGAACAGCCGACGGAATGAAGGTGAGGGTGCTGAGGTTCCCACTCCTGGGCTCCGATGCCGAGCATCATTTGCCCAGAGTATCCTGACCACAGATGTGTCTAGAGCTCGTGGACTCATCGATTTAGAGCTGGAAGGGACATTGGAAGCAATCCAGTCCAGCCTTCTCACTTTACAGATGAGGAAACTGAGGCACAGAAAGGTTCAATGATTTGCCCAAGGCACCACAGTTAGTAAGCATCTGAGACAGGATTTGAACCCAAGTCAGCCTGATACCTCTCTAGCATGCCCAAGTTTTTCAATCCCAACTCATTCATGTAGCCTCCCGTCCCAACCCTTGGCAGCATCTCTCCCATCCTGGCCTTGGTGGAGGAGGATGCCTGGGGCAAACTATCCTTCCCTTCTGCCCCTTCTGAGGATGGAGAGCAAGCTGCTAATTTTCCCCTCTCAGACCTGGCCCCAGGGCACCTGCAGCTCGGCTCTCTGGCAGGAGGAGAGTTCCAGCCAGACCCCAGCGCCATCTCCCCGACAGAGGAGGGTGGGGATGGCCACCACCAGTCCTCACCAGCGATACGCTATCGAAGACACAACCAGCGACGCTTCTCCATGGAGGTGAGAGATGGGCTCCCTGCCTGGTAGACACACATGCAAGGTAGGCTGCAGGCTCTGGAGGATCACAGAATGTGTGTACTTAGACCCTCATACCAACCACCATTCATCTAACACTGTAAACTTTGCAAAGCACTCTGCATGTATTATTTCAAGTGAGCCTCACTACCAACCAATGGGAGGTAGGTACTGTGTTATTATCCCCATTTTACAGATGAAGAAACCGAGGCTGCAAAGTTAAGTGATTTGCCCAGGGTCACAAAGCCACTAAGTGTTTGAGGGCATATTTGAACTCAGGTCCTCCTGACTTCAGGCCTGGCTCTATCCACTGTGCCACCTTACTCAGCACCAAGGAAGACCTGAGTTCAAATCTGGCCTCAGACACTTACCAGCTGTGTGACTCTTGACAAGTCATTTCACCCTGTTTGCTGCCTCACTTTCCTCATCTGTCAAATGAGCTGGAGAAGCAAATAGCAAACCACTCCAGTATCTTTACCAAGAATATCCCAAATAGGGTCACGAAGAGTTAGACACTCCTGAAAACAACTGAACAACAACAACAGTAAACAGCATGTATTCCTATATACACATAGCATTTGGGCATGTTTGTATATGTTTGCATTTACTAACCGTAATCATTGATTGTACTTCAAGGTTTACAGAAATTCCCCATTTGAGCCTCAAAACATCTGTGTGAGGTAGATAATGCAAATATGACTATCTCTGATTTGCTGGGGGTTTTTTTTTTCATTTTTGATTTAGACCTCTAAACTATCTGATATAAAGAATCCCAGAGGTAGAAACACCTTCCATCGACGCACAAGAGCAGTTCCTTGTAACTTGCAGTCCTAGAGAGTTGCCTGAGATGCTGAGAAATCATGTGACTTGTCTAGACTTACTGGGTCACCCAGCCAGTATGTGTCAGGGGTGGGACCTGAACCCAGATCTTCTTGACTCCAAAGCTAGCCCTTTCCCTGCTATTCTGTCTTGCCTTTCATCCTTATTTTATAGGTATGGAGATAGGCTCAGAAGAGTTAAGTGATTTGCCCCAAGGTCATACAACTAATCAATGTTCAGAGATGAGGACAGAGCTTGGGTCCTATGATGCCTGAGTCCAGGGCTTGTCGCTTCCCCCTCCCCTCACCCCGTATTCTGTGCCTCTGAGGATGTCTGTGTGTGGGTGGCCAGTGTGGGAAGCCCGCCTGGAGGGGGAGAGCTGAGGCTGCCGTCTCCCATGGCTCCCAGTTCCCTAAGAGTCTCATTTGAAACTCTCCTTTTGTTCCCCTCCAGGATGTCAGCAGACGGCTCTCCCTACCTATGGACATCCGCCTGCCACCAGAGTTCTTACAGAAGCTTCAGCTGGAGAGCCCAGAGCTACCCAAGCCCCTCAGCAGAATGTCCCGCCGGGCATCCCTAGTGAGTCCCTCCAGAGAGGGTGAGGAGGGGCGGAGCACCCCACGAGACCCCAGAGAAGGTCCTGCTTTCAGCCTTAATTGTGTCTGTGGGAGAAGGCAGGGGCCTCTGAGTCCCCACTTTCCAGACTGATAGCAAATTCTCTTTCAGGAGAAATCTGTCCTCTGGCTCCACCTGCTGGTCAAAGCAGAACGCAGGCAGATGGTTATCAAAACACCCTCTTGGGTTTGGAAAGGCTTTTAAAAGATCATTGAGTCCCAGCTTGTGCTGATAAATATGTAACACCAGGCTGTCAAGGAGGGGGGTTGGGTGGGGAGAGTGCATTATTAACATTTTCTCCATCACTTTCAAAGAATCAACAGAAACATTATAGAATTTGCCGATTTCTGAGGTGTAAATGCTCACACTGAAATTTAATAATCAGCTCTAGCCGGTTCAAACTGACTCCAGCTATTTGAGTCCAGTCTTCTCATTTGTCAGAGAAGAAAACTGAGGCCTAGGGACTTCAAGCGACTTGACCAAGATCACATATCTAGTTAATGATTGATTGGGGACTAGAAGCCACACATTGGGCTCATGCCCCTAACTGCATTCAGCCCTAAATCCATTGAACATTCCAGCTTAGGGGGAGGGGGCAGGGCTGGAGGATTGGGGTGAATTAGAGAGGCTCTCAGGATTCCTTGGCATTCAGAAGCCCTAGCTATTCGAAGACTCCCCTTCGGGGGATGTGGAAAGTTGCCATACTAACCTTGGGTTCCTCTCTCACTCTACTTCCAGGGCAAATGGGATAGCTCAGAGCATTTTGAGGGAGGTCCATAAACTGGCTCATAGAACATTAACCTAGGAGCCGGGTTTTCTGGAGGGTCCCTTCCTTGATTCAGAGCTAGAGTGGAAGGATGATCATGATGACAATGATTTAACAAACATACCAGAGTTTATAATGTTTTTGTTAAAATCTTTCCTTCCCCTCCTTAGCATCATTTGCTCCCACCATACAATTATAATGATCATAATAATAGGGAGCATTTATATGACACTTTAATGTTTACAAAGCTCTTTATACATCCTCATAACAACTGTGGGAAGTAGGTGCTATTATAATCCCCATTTTACAGATGAGGAAACTGAGGCTGAGAGAGAGTAAGTGACTTTCAGATGTTCCTGACTCCAAATCCAGCACTCTATCCCACGATACTATCTAGGGTGACTCATTCCCTCTCTTGTTCAAGAAAGAACATGAAGCTACGTAGTAGAGATGTTAGCGAGGGAGTGGAGTTTGTGTGAGGTTAGTGGGGGCAAGTTAACTGGAGAAAGTTAAGGATAGCCGGTGGGTAGGGCATACGTATAGGATGACATCTCTCTCTCTGTCTCTCTCTCTCTCTTCCCTCTTCAGTCAGATATCGGCTTTGGGAAACTGGAAACATATGTGAAACTGGACAAATTAGGTGAGGTAAGAGACTGATCCAGGCGTTGAGAGAGGTTTGATGGAGACCTTCCAAGACAGTGACTTGATTAACGCTGCCCTTGTCATTAAGAAGGGCATTGCTTATTAAGGGCTGAGCCTTCTCAAGTCTGGCAGGGCCTCCGACAGAATCTGAAATATATGAGATCCACCTTCCAGGTTCAGATCTAAGGGGTTTTTTTAAAAATTCATTTTAAAATTTGTATTAGTATTTTTCATTTTGATATTACCTTCACTGACAACCTACATCCTTCTCCCGGGTAACCACGCCCTACAGCAGGGGTTGTTATGTGTATAGTTTTCCTGTCTCTGCTTACTTCATTCTGCACTACTTCATATGTTTTCCCATACTTCTCTGTATTCAACATACCTATCATTTCTTACAGAACAATAATATTCCATGTACTATAATTTGTTTCCCCACTCCCCAGTCACTGGGTATTGACTTTGCTTCCAGTCTTCTGTTACTACAAAAAGTACTACTATAAAAATTTTGTTGTATAGAGAGTCTTTTTGTCTCTGCTTTCCTTGGGGTATATGTCTAGCAAAAGAGATCTTGATTTAAAAAACAAAAAACTTGCCCTATCTGATAATGCTTGACTTGGTGCCAGTGGCCCAGCTGGGACCAAACTCTTGTATCCTGTGGGTTTGTTTTCTATCATCCTGGAGGTAAAGCATGGAAAGAGGGGCTATGAATTCTAATCCGATGTCACAGCTGGCAGGAAGGGCAAGGACCTGAATTTGCCTTGGTTGTTTCCAGGGCACCTATGCCACCGTCTTCAAAGGGCGAAGCAAACTCACTGAGAACCTGGTGGCCCTGAAGGAGATCCGACTAGAGCACGAGGAGGGTGCTCCTTGCACCGCCATCCGGGAGGGTATAAGCACCTGGGGCTAGATGACTCACCTCATCGCCAGGGCCCCTACTGAGACCTCTCACCCCAGGGCATCATGCTATGTCACCTTGTGACATGGGAGGGACATCTGTGGTGGTAGGAGAGTAAGAGTTGGCATTGTGCCCCCAAGAGAAGGTGGGAGTGATGGGATGGCTGAGTCCTGAGACAGAGTAAGGATTCTCTAAGCCCAGGGAAGATCCCAGGGGGAAAAGAGTGGCATGGGACCTAGAGGACCCAAATGTGCTCATCTCCTTACAGTGTCACTGCTGAAAAACCTGAAACACGCCAACATTGTAACCCTGCACGACCTGATCCACACGGAACGATCCCTCACCCTTGTCTTTGAGTACTTGGTAAGACAGAACTGGGTCTTGTGGGAGGAGGGAAGGAAGGGAGAAAGGATGGGAGGGAGGGAGGGAGGAGGGAAGGAAGGAAGGAAGGAAAGAAGGGAGAGGAGAAGAAAGAAAGGAAAATAGGAAAAGAAGAAGGAAGGGAGGGAGGGAGGAGGGAAGGAAGGAAGGAAAGAAGGGAGAGGAGAAGAAAGAAAGGAAAACAGGAAGAGAAGAAGGGAGGGAGGAGGGAAGGAAGGAAGGAAAGAAAGAAGGAAGAAATTATCTTCCTTCATAGACCCCTACCCCTGTCTCTTTCCTCTTGGTTGACCTTGGCTGGGAGAGCCTTTAATCTTTAGCTCTACAGGGTCTCACATCTTCCAGGCTATAGAATGATATGATGGGATTGGAGATGAGGCAGGTCCAGGACCCAGTATTCCAGCCCCCTCCCCAACCAGGCTCTGCCTAGCCAAGGCCTTCCACCCTGGAGCTTGGGGTGCCAGGGTCCTTCTGACTGTTGTGGAGTGGGTACAAGCCAGGTGCTGTGTTCTAGGACAGCGACTTGAAGCACTACTTGGACCACTGTGGAAACCTCATGAGCATGCACAATGTCAAGGTGAGGACCCCAGCCTGACCCCAGGCCCAGACCTCACCAAAGCAGGCCCCTGGGGAAGGCAGGAAGAAGACTCTGCAGCAGCAGCCTCCAACCAGTACTTAGCCTGACACATACAAGAGATGCACCTACAGTCAAAGACTGGCTTTTAAAAGATTTGAAATATTTTGTTTCGATTTAGATGTCAAACCCAACAAACACCCCAACACTCCTTCCCCAGAGTACATTCTCTGCAAGCAGCTAAGGAATAGAGCAATTGCACCTGATTGAATTTGTCCCCTTCCACTTTTGTACTTTTACTATTAATAATCCCATTAATTTTCTTCTTTAACATCCACTGATGGCTTTTGTTTATCAGTCCTTTCCAGTCACGTCCAGTTACCCTTGTTTCGTACCCAGTTATCCTTGTAACAAAGAAAGGAAGTTAAGTACTGTCCATCCATTTTGCTTGACAGTATATGCAGCACTCTGTACCCATCGTCCCCCACCTCTTTACTGACAGGAAGGAGCTGCCTTTCTTCCTCTCTTCTCCAAGACTGGCCATTACAACGGCCTTTGGTTTCACTTCTATTATTGCCATCGCTGTGGATATGTTATGTGATCATCAGTTCCTTTAAGCCTTCCCTTAAAAGACAGACTTTTTTTTGGGGGGGGGTGGCAATTGGGGTTAAGTGACTTGCCCAGGGTCACACAGCTAATAAGTGTCAAGTGTTTGGTCTGAGGCCGGATTTGAACTCAGGTCCTCCTGACTTCAAGGCCGTGCTCTATCTACTGTGCCACCTAGCTGCCCTGAAAGACAGACTTTTGAAAACAAACTGATATAGTATGCCAGAGCTTATAAAGCCAAATAAGTGTTGTCCCCATCTGAGCCATCCCTTGGGGAAGCTCCACTCACATTCCAGCTTTGTGGTTGCTTCAGCTCTATGAGGAACAGCACTTAGAGCTGCTTACACGCCCTAGGATAATAGTTGCTGTTCAGTTGTTTCAGTCATGTCCAACTCTTTGGGACCCGCTTGGGGTTTTCTAGGCAAACACACTGGAGTGGTTTGCCATTTTTTTCCTCCAGTTCATTTTACAGATGACAAAACTGAGGCAAGCAGAATTAAGTGACTTGCCCAGGGTCACACAGCTAGTAAGTGCCTGAGGCCAGATTTGAACTCATTAAGATGAGTCTTCCTGATTCCCAGGCTCAGCACTCTGTGCACTATGGTGCAACTTAGCTGCCCTACTAATAATAGTAACTAACATTTATCTGCAAACATGTAAGGTTCCCAGAGCCCTTAGTATGCCTTCTTCTCCTCTAACCCTCTCAACAACCCTAGACGTAGGTAATACAGGGGTTAGGACACCACTTTTACACATGAGAAAATGGAAGTCAGCAGAAGCCCAGGCTCACAGCTAATAGTTGTCAGAAAGAGGATTTAGAACCCTGGTAGTCTTCCTGTCCCCATGCACTCTTCTCATTTGCCAGGCTGTCATGTGCACAAAACAAAACAGAACAGGAAAAAAATGGTCCTTTGCTTTGTAGTCTTAGCTCATTTTGGACACAAACTTTGGACACCCAGTAAGATTACTTACCTTATTCACAACACCCGAGTGTCTTGGGGAAGTTGGGTGGTGTGGTAGGTAGAATGCTAGGTCTGGCGTCAGGAATGTCCAAGTTCATATTAGACACTAGCTGTGTGACCTTGGGTAAGTCAGTTAACTTCTGCCTCAGTTTCCTTAACTGTAAAATAGAATGCCAATAACACCTAACTCCCTGGTTATTGTGAGGATCAAATGAAATAATATTTATAAAGCATTTAGCACAGTGCCTAGCATACAGTAGATGCTATATACATGCTTATTCTTATTGTTATTACTACCATCACCCAACCTGGAGCTGCATGATTTTTTACTTTTTTCTTTTTCTTTTTCCATAAAGAGAGAGAGGGAAAAAAACCCTCCTTCAGAGTAGAAAGATTTGCCACTACTGAATATATTCAAAAGAATATGCTGAGAAGGAGTCCCAAGGATTTTCCAAAGTGATTGCAGCAAGAACCAGAACTTTGAAATAAATTTGCAGCCTCCTAAGGGGACTCCTGTGAAAGAGACGTCCTTCACTTGGTAGATAGGGTTTTGTGTGTTTAGTTAGGGCTTTTTTTTTTTTTTAAAGCAGCGGGTCTCTTTCACTTGCGAGCAGCCTTGACTTGTACATTTCCACCCTGTGCTCTCAGACACTGGTCTGCCCCATCCTGGTCTCATGTGGAGAAGCAGCACAGCCTGAGAGTACTGTGTTTGCAGTCAGGAAGACCTGAGTTCTGCCTCAGAGGACCCCGGACAAGTCACGCAACTCTTCTCGTTCTGTTTCCTCATCTACAAAATGAGAATAATGATGACCGCAATGCTTAATTTACGGGGTTGTTGCCAGAATCAAACAATAAGAATCATGACAGCTAGCAATTAAAGGCACTTTAGGGCATGCGAAGCTTAGCATGTCTCCTGGCACATAGTAAGAACTTAATGGCTCATTGCTGGATGCCTCCCTGCCAAAGCCCTTTTCATGTGCTATCTCATTCAGTCCTCATAAACCTCCTGGGAGCTAGGCGCTATTATTATCATCCCCATTTCATAGATTAGGAAACTGAGGCTAGTCAAGGTGAAGTGACTTGTCCAGAGTCACACAGCTAGTGCCTGAGGCAGGATTCAAACTCGGGTCTTTCCGACTCTAGATTCAACACTCAATCTATCCACCCTTCCCCTGAGTGGCTCAAATCAGGTTATGTATAAATAGTGCTTTGCAAACCTTAAATCTCTGTATAAATGTCAGCAAGGAGGAGGAGGAGGGTGATATTGTGCCAGGAACTCTCCTCACCTCCACACATCCTGGAATCACCGCTGCTGGAGCTCCCAAAGATGGGCCCTCTTCCTGACCTTGACCGCTGCAGAAAACACCCAGGGCCAGGCAGAGGGTGGATGAGAGGCCAGCTGGTTTCTCCCAGGGCTCATGTTTTTTTCCTTCTCTTCACGCCCATCCATGGACACCGTATGACTCACTTTCCCCCAAGAGACTGCTGCGCTTGCCAGACTGGACTTTTATAATAATCACCTTCCACCCTCTCCACCCTCCTCAGGTCTTTATGTTCCAACTGCTCCGGGGTCTCTCCTATTGCCACCGACGGAAGATCCTCCACAGGGACCTGAAGCCCCAGAACTTGCTCATCAACGAGAAGGGAGAGCTAAAACTGGCAGACTTCGGTGAGGGCAAGGAGCCAGCCAGGGTGAGGGGACAGGTCCCCCGTGGCCTCGATCTGGGCCATGTGGCAGCATGGGGATGGGTTACTCAGGCACAGCAGAGGGTGTCTCTGTCAGACCATTTAGTTACACCTCTGTCCTCAGGCCTGGCCCGGGCCAAGTCAGTGCCCACCAAGACCTACTCCAATGAAGTAGTGACCCTTTGGTACCGGCCCCCTGATGTCCTGCTGGGCTCCACAGAGTATTCCACCCCCATCGATATGTGGTAAGTAAGAGTAGGAGGGGAGAAGGGGAAGGGGCCTTCAGGGGTCTGGGGAGGGGGAACCTCAATCTGTGCCATTATTATCTCCATTTTAAAGATGAGGAAACTGAGGCAGACAGCAGCTAAGTGACTTGCCTAGGGTCACACAGCTAGTAAGTGTCTGTTTTTGGTTTTTGGTTTTAGGCAATTGGGGTTAAGTGACTTGCCCAGGGTGACACAGCTAGTAAGTGTCAAGTATTTGGTCTGAGGCCGGATTTGAACTCGGGTCCTCCTGTCTTCAGGGCCGGCACACTATCCACTGCACCACCTAGCTGCCCCCTAGTAAATGTCTAAGGCTGGATTTGAACTCCTATCTTCCTGACTCCAGGCCCAGCGCTCTATCCATTGTTCCACTAACTTCCTCCGTTCTTAAAGAGCACTGGGGCATTTAGAAGATGTGACTTGGGCAGCTAGGTGGGGCAGTGGATAGAGCACTGGCCCTGAAGTCAGGAGGACCCAAGTTCAAATCCGGCCTCGGACCAAACACTTGACACTTACTAGCTGTGTGACCCTAGGCAAGTCACTTAACCCCAATTGCCTTAAAAAAAAAAAAGAAGAAGAAGATGTGACTTGCCCAGGGTCACACAGTCAGTACACGTCAGAACCCAGATTATAGAATCAACTGGAAGGGACAAACAAGGGTATCCCTATTCCCTTTGAACAGATGAAGAAACAGACTCAGAGAGGTTAAAAGATTTGCCCAGAGTTACACAGCTAATAAGAAGCAGTCAGGATTTGAATTCAAGGCCTTCCTGGTTTCAAGTCCAGCACTCTATCCACTAGGTCTTTTTGTCTCTCACCTAATTAATTTATTCACTCAATGAGTCTATCAGTAAGCGTCTTAAAAGCATTAACTATATGCTGGGCCTCATGCTAAGCACCGGGGATATAAAGCAGAGACAAAAACAGCCCCTGCCCTCAAGGAGCTTACATTCTAACAGAAGAGCCAACCTGCATGTGAATAAGCACATACAAGATACTTTCAGGGTAAATGGTGGGGAAGGCACTAACAGCTGGTACCAGGGAAGGCTTACGGCATAAGGTGGCATTTAATCTACGTCTTGAAGGAAACCCAGGAGTTTACAAGGCCGAGTGAGGAGGAAAAGCATTGCAGGCATGGGAGACAACCAGGGAAAAGACCTCGATGCGTGAGGAGCAGTTAATATGGCTGAATCATAGAGTGCATAGAGGGGAGACAAGGGTAAGAAGATGGGAAAGGGAGGGAGGGGCCAGGTTATGAACAGCTTTGCAAGCCAAACAGGGGGTTTTATATTTGATCTTGGAGGTAATAGGGAGCTACTGAAATTTATTTGGTAGGATGGTGAGGGAGGTGGGTAGAGAGAGGGTAGTGGGCTAAGACTTGTACCTTTTGGAAAATTATTTTGGCAGCTGTATAGACGATATATTGGAGTGGGAGAGACTTGAGGAAGGGATGCTAATTAGGAGACACTGGAGGAGAAAGGTGAGGAGGTCCACACCTAGGAGTGATGACTGTGTGAGGACATATGTGGAAGTATGTTATGGAGATGGAAATGATAAGATTTGGCAACTAATTTCATATATGGAGTGAGTAAGAATGAGGAGTCCAGGATAACTCTGAGGTTGTGAATCTGGGTGACTGGAAGATGGTGGTGCCTTCAACAGACATGGGAACATTAAAAAGAGGTATGGATTTGAGAAGAATGGTGATGATCTCTGTTTTGGACATGTCAAGTTGTAATTTCTGTTGGATAGCTACTTGGAAATATTCAGTTTTGTTGCTCAGTTATTTCAGTTCTGTCCGACTCTTTGTGACCCCATTTGAGTTGCTTTTTTGGCAAAGATACTGGAGTGGTTTGCCGTTTCTTTCTCCCGCTCATTTTATAGATGCTGAAACTGAGGCAAACAGGTTATGTGACTTGCCTGGGGTCACCCAGCTGGTAATGGTCAGTTGATAATTGATGACTGAAGCTCAGCAGGGAAACTAGGGCTAAATATGTAAGTCTACAGGAGGAATCATCAGCATAGAGGTCACGGTTGAATCCATGGGAGCTGATGGGATCACCAAATGAGAAAGCAGAGAAAGAAAGAAGGGAAGAGGACTTGGGACAGAGCCTTGAGGTATACTCAACAGTTAATGAGAATGACATGGATGAAGAGCCAGCAAAGGTAAAGGTAATTAACAAAGAGACTCAGACAGGCAAAAGGGAGAGAGAGAGAGAGAGAGAGAGAGAGAGGGAGGGAGGGAGGGAGGGAGAGAGAGAGAGAGAGAGAGAGAGACAGAGAGAGAGAGAGAGACAGAGAGAGAGAGAGAGAGAAACAGTGTCCTGAAACCTTAAAGAGGAGGGAAAGTCCAGAAAGAGTTGGTGGCCGACAGGGTTACATGCTGCAGAGAGGTCAAGCAGGATGAGGATTGAGAAGAGGCCTTTAGATTTGGCAATTATGTGTGACTTTCATCCAAAACAACCTCATTTGAATGATGAGGACTGAACCCAGGTTGCAGAGAGTCTAGAAGAAACTGGGAGACGAGAAGGTGGACATGCCAAAGGTAGATGACTTTTTGAAGGAGTTTAGATGAAAAAGAAAGAAGACATATAGGATGATAGCTGTAGGGGATGGTAGGATCTTGGAAGGGTTTAGGATAGGCCTAAGGATGGAAGATTAGAGAAAGAATGGGGCTGATGGTGGAGGCAGTTTGGTGGAAAAGATTGGAAGGGAGGAGACTGAGAGTGCGTGAAGAAGAGTTGACCTTAGCCAAAGGAAGGGACACCTCTTCATCAGAGACTGGAGTAAAGGAGGAGAAGGTGGAAGATGATGTCAGAGGGATGTGATATGAGGAGAAGAGGAGGAGTTGAACCTGTGGGAGAGTGGCCTGGATTTTTTCATTGAAGTATGAGGTGAGAAGGTGGAGTTAAGAGGACCCATGGGAAGCTTGAGGAGAGAATAGAAGATTTGGAACAGCCACTGTGATAAGAGGGCTGTAAAAAAATGATGTTGATGGCTTATCTTTACTATAGGCCAGATTTAGGAATGAGGATCCAAGATTTAGAGCCGGGAGGGATTTAAAGGCTGTCTAGTCCAATGGGTAAAGTAGGCAAAGAGTCATTAAATGTCCTGCCTAAAGTCACATAGGTAATTAACATCAGTAGACTGTAAGCCCCCTGAGGGTAGGAACTGTGTTTTAGCTAAACTCCCCATCTCCCGTCTCACTCCCATCCCTCCCTAAGCACTGAGCACGAGGGAAGAGGACTACACAGAATTGGTGCTTAATGGGATGACTGTTGAAGGAATTCATCTCTCTGCCCTGACTGCCGCACGTCCCCATCCCACAGGAATCACTTGGTTCAGTGTGGTTTATTGTAGAAAGGATGACCTCTGTGATGGCTCCCCTGCCCTCCCCAGGGAGAAAACTGGGCTCCTTCAGGCCCGGCTCCAGTGACTTGCCTCCCTAATTGTCCCTCACAGGGGTGTGGGCTGCATCCACTACGAGATGGCCACTGGAAGGCCCATCTTCCCTGGCTCCACTGTCAAGGAAGAATTGCACCTTATTTTCCGCCTGCTTGGTGAGTGCCCTGTCTACTATCTGCCTCTCACCACCAGAGGGCACCTCAGCCTAGGCCTTCAATGAAGGGCTCAGCTCCACCCCCAAGCAGAGACGAGGGTCGTCTTTGTGGGATCTCACCCCTCAGACCCGGGTCCCCTTCTCGGCACAATCTCTGAAGGATTGGGGGATTCCATAGAGTTTTCTGTATTCTACCTCCTGACCCTCTAGTCCTCTCTACTTGGGCCGCCTTGGCCCTGCCCTCTTCCTTGTAGCAACCAATCCCCATGCCTCTCTTTTCCCTGTCATGTCATCTCTTTAGGGACCCCCACGGAAGAGACCTGGCCAGGAGTGACATCCCTCCCCGAATTCCGAAACTACAACTTTCCCCGGTACAAACCCCAGCCGCTCATCAACCATGCTCCCAGGTACCCATACAACCCAAGCCCTGCCCTTCCTTCTGTGAGATGATAGATCAAGAGATAAATAGATAACGTATTTATTATGTGCTTCCTGTGCGCCAAGGACTGTGACAAGCATTGGGGATGGAAATACGAGAAAGCAACGCAGTCCTTGCCCTCAAAGAGCTTATATTCTAATGCAGGATGATGACACCAACCCTGTGATGTAGATAGATACAGAGTCCAGTTAAACTATCATGCTATAGCAGGAAATTAGACCCAAGTATCTTCATCCTTCCCCAGCATATATAATCTTTGTCATTGACCAATTGGTCAATGAGTAAGAGCTGCAGAGAGGCAGATATATGCTCAGCATAAGAAAGAACCTAACAATTAGAAGTCAGAAATCAGCTGTCTAAAAATTAAGGTGGTGAGCTTCCCATCATTGGAGGTCTTCAAACTGGATAACTATATGTTGTAGAGGGGATTCATCCCTCACCTGGGGATGGAACTCAATGACTTCCGAAATCCCCTCCAACTGAGTCGATGATTCTGGCACCTAGGTAGACACGGGTATAGTCTGAGCCTTAGGTCCTATATCCCTCTCCGCTGCCATAAGGCTATGTGGTGGGTGGACAGGGCCTCTGCCAGCTGACTCTTCCCCGCTTCCCCCCCCCAACTTCTGGACATTGTTGTGTTACAGGTTGGACACAGATGGCATTGACCTTCTTACCAGTCTCCTCCTGGTGAGTGGCCTCCTGACGTTGGGGTCCAAAAGTAGCAGGCAAGCCAAACCTGAAACTTCAGAGAGCTTGGTGGTGGTCCTGTGGCCTTAAACACTGACTCCTTTGGGTCTCATCCTTCTCATTCCATGGAATATCCTCCCTGTCCTCTTGGACCACCAGGGTTCAGTATATGGGTCTCTGATGGGAGGCAGTAGTGGAAAGAGCTCTAAATGTGGAGTCGAGAGACCTGATCCATTACTTGCTACCATAGATAGGTCTTTGTCCCCTCCGGGACTCAGCTTCCTTGTCTATAAAACAAGGGTATTGGACTAAATGACGTTGAAGGTCCCTTCATGCTTTGAATCCTGTGGTCCACAGCCTAGGGGTGGAATTCTTTCCCAGAAAATCTTTGATCCCATCTGTCTCCTTTCTCTGGGCACATTGAGACCTCTCCACCTTTGTCGCTGCTGCCCCCTGATTGCCATCCTTCCCAACATTCCAGCTCCTCTTATATCTCTGATCCTTTGCTTTTCAGTATGAAGCCAGGAGCCGGATATCAGCAGAGGAAGCCCTGAGACACCCTTATTTTGGTTCCCTGGGGGAGCGTGTGCATCAGCTCCCTGACAGTAAGTGGGTCTAGAGAAGTCTTCATGGCAGACTGGACAGGACACTGGACTTTGAGTCAGGAAGACTTGGGTTCAAATCCTGTCTCAGATACTTGCCAGCCATGTGACCATAAGCAAGTCATTTAACTGCTCTGTGCCTCAGTTTCCTCATCTATTTAAAAAGAAAAAGGTCGTCAGACTCGGTGGCCTTCTGGCTCTAAATTCATGATCCTATAAGGGCCTACAAGACTCTGTGTCAGGAGCCAGGATGTCATCGTGGAAAAAACGATGGACTGGAAGCCAAAACTTTAGTTCATTCTGTTACTAGTTATGGGACCTCCAGCAAGTCACTTTCCTTTTCTGGGCCTCAGTTTCTCTAATTGTAAAATGTAAGGAATGGACTCATTGTCTGACATCCTTTCACTTTAAAAAAAAATTGTCTCATTTCTAATGATCTGTTAATCAACACGTGTTTATTAAATACCTACTGTGTGCTGGACATGTCCTAAGCCCTGATGTTGATGCATTTTGTTTTTCACATTGCCTTCACTTCCAAAAAAATCCCTCCTCTCCTCCCCAGCAATCCATCCTTTGTAAAGGAAGATTTTTTAAGAAGAAAGAAAGGAAAAAATGCAATTCAGCCTAACCAAATGCATTTCAGTATATGCAAAATTCCCTACAAAGTTCTGAAGGGCATCCTTGGAGGACCACTGTGTTACAGAGGCGCCAGAGGGGTTGGCTGGGGGGAGGCAGGATACCAGGTGGCCAAGTGACTTACCCAGGGACCCACTGTGGACCAGAGGTCAAACCTAACCCTGGGTCTCCCTCTATCTGAGGTCAGCTCTCTCTAGTCCCTATTCTACACCTGCCCTCTTCTCTGTACTTCTTAATTTGTATTCATTATGAATTTAACTTCAAATAGTAATAAAAACAATTTTACTTACATTTGAAACTCTTTCAGGTTTAAAAAAATGACCATAATCATACAAATCTGTAACAAACTTCTCAGGTCCTTTTTTCCATCTGATCTCTTTCCATTGTCTCTTTCCTTTCCCCTAGAGTTTGTTTCTCTCTTTTCCTTTTCTATAGTTGGTGTATATGCTCACCAGTTTTGTGTCCTTCATTTACCATTTTTTCTACATAAATCTTTCCATATTTATTTTTTTTTGGGGGGGGCAATCAGGGTTAAGTAATTTGCCCAGGGTCACACAGCTAGTAAGTATCTGATACCACATTTGCACTCGGGTCCTTCTGACTTCAGGGCTGATGCTCTAGCCATGTGCCACCTAGCTTCCCCACCATATTTATTTATATTTTCCCAAGCAGTTATTCTTTGTTGTGTTTGAGTTCAGCCTTTACTTTCCAAGAGGAATCGTTCATAGCTCACATTCACATTCACTTTTCTCTCTCTCCATCCACAAAGTACTTTACGCTAAGACCTAGGACCGGCGCTGGATGTGGGCAGGGTCATCTCTGGCCTTTGTACCCTGCTCCTCTGTGCCCTGGCTCCTTGCCACCTTCTCTCCAGACCCTGGAGCTGTACCTCCCTGGTTGATAAAGATTACCTAAAGACGAATGCCCCTATTTCCAGCCTGGCCAACCAAGCTGGAAGATAAGGCAAGAGAGAATGTGCTGGGATACTTCCATCAGTGGGCACAGGCATCCCCTCGTCCCTTCCCCTCCCTCAACTTCACTGTGCTCATTTGCAAAATGAAAGAGTCAGACCAGACCTCTAAAGGCAATTCCAGCCCTAGATTTGTGCAATGAGCTATATACGTGGCATAAGCTCCCTGAAGGACAGGATTCTCACACTTAGGTGAGTATAAGCTGTAGCTTCCAGCACATTGTAGGTGCTTAGTAACCACTTGTTGATGAGGCCTAGAGGTAGAAACAGACTTAGGTGCCCACCGGAAGCAGAGCTAGGGATGTTTTCTGGTCTAGTCAGCTTTGTGAGACTGACTGCCTGTGCTCTAGGCAGCTAGGTAGCGCCATAGTGCACAAAGCTTTGGTCCTGGAGTCAGGAAGACCTGAGTTCAAATCCTGCTTCACACGCTTACTAGCTGTGTGTCCCTGGGCAAGTCACTTAATCTCTGTTTGCTTCAGTTTCCTCATTGGCAAAATGGGGATAATAATAACCTACCTACCAGGTTTCAAATCAGATAATATTTGCCAATTACTCAGTGTAATATCTGGCATACAGTAGGTGCTATATAAATGCTAATTGTCTTCCCTTCCCTCTCTTCTTGTTCCTTCCATCCTTCTTCTGTCTCTTGTCACCCCACAGCTGCCTCTATCTTCTCTCTGAAGGAGATTCAGCTCCAGAAGGATCCAGGTTACCGGGGCCTATCCTTCCAGCAGTCAGGTAATGTACCTTATTCCTCCCCCAGATCTGCTCCCCACCCAGGGGGCAATTGTGATCCATGATATGTTTCAGTCAATGCCTAGGGCTCTGGGAATACTCTGTCTGGAGGCAGAGTGGACCCTATGTAGCCTCCCCGTCCATCTAATGGGGAGTAGGGAGTGGGTTGGTTTCCCTCCTCTCATTTCCCAACTCTTTCCGCCTGCTCGTCCTTTCCTCAGTTTCTCTTTGTGCTGGCTCCAAAACAAGCTCTCCTCCCCTGACAGAGCGAACCCCACCCTGTAGGGCTCCTGATCTGATACTGTCTAACAAGGATACAGTGAGACGCCCCTGCCAGTAGACACGCCAGAGCCCCTCTGGATTGCCGGGTTGGGAAACTACCTTTGGAGGAGATCGCTTGATCTTGAGATATTCTTGTTAGTTTGATCCCCGAAGCCCTCTAGAGAGGTCAGTGCCCTTGGATAGTTCCTGGAGCACATTATCTTCCCTTCTTCTCCTTCACTAACAGAGATCCAATTGGCTGCCCATACCCCCTCGTCCCAGGGTCTGGGTTCTCATTTTGAGAAGTAAGTTTTCATTTTCCTGAATCCGGGTTCTTTGCTGACTTTACCCTCTGTTTCTCTCCCCTACTCTGTCTTTCAGGCCGTGGGAAGAGCCGAAGGCAAAGCATCTTCTGAGCTAGATGTCCCTATCCCCACACCAAAAGCCATGAAAGTGATGAGACACGCCCAGCACAACTGTCCGGGGCTGGGGTTGGGGACCTAGAGTTGTCTTGAGAGGACCGGGGGCCCCAGCGGCATGGGAGAGAAGTCCATTAGCCCTGTTGGCTGCTGGTGTGGCCCCTCCCCTTCCTTTCAGAAAACCTCTCCGGGGGGGCTCTGAGTCCTGGCTCCACCCCCAGCTCCTTCTCCCCAGCCCCTGGGGCTTGAGCACTGTGGTTTGCAAGGCTATCTTAAAGGTGGGTAACCCAAGCTCCAGCCTGGCAGGCAAGAAAGGATGTGCCAGGATTCTTCCATCTGCTCAGGCTGGGGGAAGATGGAATATCCCAGATGGAGCACTGGCTGGCCCATATCCCACACCTCTCCTGGGTTGGAGGCTGCTTTGCACAAAGCCTCTCTGACCAGGCAGATTTTGGCTGGTGCCCCTGACGCAAGCAGGGCCAACTGTGTGCACACCCCTGCTGGCTCATTGGCATCTTCCTCGCCAGCCTCTGTGGGAGGCACGGAATAGCTTCCCTTAATCCCTGATAGTTCTGTTTCTTTTATCCTCCTACAGTTAAAGAAAGGGATGTTCTAACCTCCCCAGGACCCTAAAATCCTGGGCACTTGTCTCTGTGCCAAAGGTCCTTGTTTCCTAACCCCCACCAGCTTCTCTCTCCAGCCTGGGGGGAGCTGATACCCCTAGCCATGACAGCAGGGTTTCAGTGCCTGGGCACCCCTAAATCCCTTGTCCTTCCTGCCCCATCCCCCCCTGCACTGGGCTCTGGTAACTCTGCCTCCAAGTTTGTTTGCTTCCCCCTTTCTGGTAGCCCTATTACCCTGACAGGGTATAGTGCCCAGCGGCCTCCACTGGATGGCACCTCCCTCTAATACCAAATATAGCAAGGCCTGCCCTGGTGGTGCCTGTTTCTTCCTGCCCACTCCACCCCAGCACCACTGAGTTTGAATGAAACTTCCTCAAAATGAAAGGTGGGAGAGAACTCATTCCCAGGAAGTTTTCTCCTTCCATTGGCCTTGTCCCCTGTGGGCCATCTTTTACTTCCTTTCTCAACAGCCCTATGTATATTCAGCATCAGAATATGAGTATCTGATCCTACCTGCTCCCTACCCCCGTCTGCTGACAGGGGACTGAGCAGGAATAAACCAGGTTAATCCTGCTCTCTGTGTCCATTAGAGCCAGGGTCCCTTCTGGGCCATCACCCCTTATTAGCTTATTCTATCCTGCAATATCCAGTCTTACTCTACCTGGTCATAGCACCAAGTCATCTCTGGGTGCTGTGCTATCTTTAAGCCCCTGACCATCTTCAATGTACAAGTCTGCCCCAGCGGATGGTCATGGACAGGGAGCAGTCATGGGGCCAATACAAAAGCCAAGGTCATGGGAAGAAGAAAGATTTTCCTAACCTGGGAGTATTCTCTATGAAAGGGTCCTGCCTATTCCTTCTAACACCTCCCTGCCACTGAGGCCAATTATTTCCCCCCAAGAGCCACCTAAACTTGGAACACTTTTCTAGAAGGGGTAAATAGACCTTGTGCCAGGGATGCACTATCCTCCTCTCCCCCTTCCCATTTCCCCAGTCCATTCTTTCTCTTTCTCTTTCATTCTCTGCACCTCTAATTCCAGGGACATACTTTATATCATCCCACCTCTGTGCCACATGAGGTATTGAGAACCACACTCCTTATCCCTGAATTCCCATCACCAACCCCCTGCTCCACCAAAGGACCAACCCTTTTGAGCCATGTTTCTCCTGCCTTGCTTCTCCCCAGAAAGAGGACCTGGGGGCTACTCCTTCCCCCCTCCCTCCCTGAACTGTACTGTGAACGTCCTGTCTCCTGTCCTGTGACTCAGTGCAAAGACAGATAATCTATTTAACACATATTGTACAAAAAGAAGCCAATGATCCCTTGAAGACAAGGTGATTCTTTTTAGCAGGTTGATTCCAAAGAAAGGGGAAAGGTATATGAGTGTGTGAAGAGCATGGGTGGGTGTCAGGGTCTATGCAGGCATTGTTATCTTTTTTATTTTAATGAAGAGAGAGTTTGATTTTTGTATATCCCAAGGCCTCTTCTACAAAGAGGGTTCCCTGACACCTTGACCTTGTATTGTGAATGCAACCAAGCAAAGGGCCAGAAATAAATCATCAAGTCTGAAGTGGGTGTGATGGCTTGGGAAACTGGAAAGCAAGAAGCAGCAGGTTCTGGGTCACTGTTCATTGTATGAAGGCCATTAATTCAGTAGCAATGATGAGTAAGGGTTGGGTTAGGATAGGCCCTGGACCTACAGTGAACTTACAGTCTAATAGGGGAGGGTAGACAGCACAAATGGCTTATGATATTAGGGGGGATGGGTCATAGAAGACCTAAGAGGTCATTTAAGCCAACTGCTTCATTTTACAGCTGAGGAAAATTGGACCCAGGAGAGGTTAAGTGATTTACCCAAGGGCATACAGGTCATAAGTGTCAGAGCTGGGATTTGAACCCGGGTCCTGAAGACACCAGAACCCAGTGCTTCTTACATTATACCATGACACCTCTCTTTCCTCCAGCTACCTGGTATTCATTTCTCTCTTTCCACATAGTCTATGAACAAATATTTATTAAGTTTCTACTATGTACAGGGCTGTCTACCAAGTATTGGGGATAGAAAAACAAAAATTAAATAGTCCCTGCCTTCAAGGAGCTTACATTCTACTCATGAAAAAAGAACATAGATAAATACAGGGGAATGTGAGATGAGAGAGCATGAACAACTGAAGAGATGTGACACTCCCACTGAACTTTGAAGGATCAGAGCTGGAAGGTACCTTAGACACCTAGCCCAACCCCTTCATCTTATAGATTGGGAAATTTTGGCCTAAAGAGTAACTTGCCTGAGGTCATGAAGATATTAAATAGCAGAACTGGAATTTGAACTAAAAGTCCCTGGCTCCAAACCCAGTACTCTTTCCACTGCCCTAATGCTCTCTCATTGGTAGATGAGAATTCTGAGAGGAGTTGGGGGAGGAGGGAGGAAGTGTGTTTGATTAAGCAAAAGCCCAGAGGTGGTAAATGGAATGTCGAATTTGGGAAATGAGTCCAGTTTGGCTGGAACATCACCTGAGAAGGAAGTGGGGGTGATGTGAAATGAAGCTAGAAATGGAAGTTAAAGCCAGATTATGGAGCCTCATAAGCCAAGCAAAAAAAAACATTGTAGCTTATACAAGGGGTGATAGAGCCACCGAATGTTTTTAAGCCGAGGTTGCTGAGGTGGTCAGACCTTAGGAAAGTCATTGTGGCAGATGTATGTTGTATAGATAGAAGAAGGAAGAGCTTGGAAGCAAAGAAGATATTACATAGTCATAGAGGCTCAGAGGTCATCCAGTCCAACCCTTACCTGACTAAAGATCCCCTCTCCAAGGGGTCTTCCAGCTTTGGTGTGAAGACCTTTAGTGAAGGGGAAATACCCCACTTCCTGAGGCAGCCCATTCCATCTTTGGATGATTCTATAATTATTCACAAGTAGATTAGGTTTTTTTTCCCCTTTGCAAAAAATCTAAATTTGCCTCTTTGTGGTTTCCACCCATTGTTACTAATTATTCCCTCTGGGGCTAAGCAGAACAATATTAATCTCTCTTCCAGGTTTTATGGCTTATTCAAATATTTGGAAATAGTTATGAAGTTCTTGCTGGTTCTTCTCAGTTAGAAATGTCCCCAATCAGAAGAATTGTAATGAAACAAGAAATAGAGAGGTTCACGGGAGGTAAAAGGGACAATTTTGATTATATGAAATTTTAAAAATTGCACAAACAAAATCAGTGCAGGTAAATTAAAGAGAAGCAGGAAATTGGGTGGAAAATCTTTGCAGCAAGTTTCTCTGATAAAGGTCTCATTTCTAAGATATGTATGTATGTGTGTGTATATATATATATACACACACACATACATACATATATATATATATAGAGAGAGAGAGAGAGAGAACTGAGTCAGATTTACAAGAATAAGAGCCATTCCTCAATTGATAAATGGTTTTCAGAGGAAGAAATTAGCTATTGATGTCCACATGGGGAAAAAAATGCTCTAAATCACTAATTAGAGAAATGCGAATTAAAATAATTCTGAGGTACCACCTCATATCTAGTAGATTGGCTGTTGTTAAAAAAGGAAAATGGCAAATGCCTTCCTGCAATCTTCAAATGTCATGAACTTGAGGCCCTTCCCAGTCTTCATTGCCCTCTGTATACACTCTAGTTTATCCAAGACTCTTTCCTAAAACATGAAAACCAGAACTGAACACAATATAGATATGGTTATGACCAAGGAAGTGTATAGACTATTATCTCCCTCGTCCTGGAAACTACATCTCAATGCAGACCAACACCAAATCAGCTTTCTTCGCTACCATTACATACCACTGAGTCATACTGAGTGTGCAATCCATTAAAAAAAAATCTTTTTCTTTTTCAGCTGAATTGTGATGTCTAGCTATGCCTCTACAATATTGTATTTGAGAAACTGATTTTTTTTAAACTTAAAAGCAAGATTTTAAAATTCCCGTTTGTTAGATTTAGCCTAATGTCAATATCATTTTGAATTGTGATCCTGTTATTGAGTATTGGCTATCCTTTCCAGTTATGTGTCAACTGCAAATCTGAAAGGACTGCTGTCTATGCCCTCATCTAAGTTATTGATAAAAATATTAAACAACGCAGGACCAAGCAAAAACCCCCGGAGTCAAATCATTCAACCATTAAGCCAATAAGCATTTATTAAGCACCTACTATGTCCCAAGCATTCTGGGGATACAAAGAAAAGGGGGGGAAAGTATCTGTCCTCAAGTAGCTCACAGTCTAATGAAGAGCTTCAGAAAGCCCAGAAAGAAGATAGTATCAAGGAGAAGAATAGATATTCAACAGTGTCAAAGGCTGCAGAGAGATCAAGAAGGATGAGAATCAAAAGACTTGGCAACTAAGAAATCATTGGTACCTGGAGACAGCAGTTTCGCTTGAATGATGAGGTTGGAAGCAGACTGCAGAGAGTTAAAGAGAGTGAGAGGAAAGGAAGTGAATGGATTGTAGACACCCTTCACAAGGAGTTTAGCCACTGAAGAGAGAAGAAACAGAGGATGATAGCAAAGATGGATGGGTGGATCAAGTGAGGGGTTTTTGAGGATGAGGGAGACATGGGGATGTTTGTAGGCATTAGGGAAGCAGCCAGTAGATAAGGAGAGACTGAAGATAAGTGGGAGAATGAGGATGATAAAGGAGGCAATCTCCGGGAGAAGACAGTCTTTTCTGCAAGAATGAAATATTCCAGAGGAGAATTAATGAAGGTCTGATGTAGGGTGAGCCATGTAAGTAGGGTGAATGGAACATAGTTGAGAAATGTGAAAGAAATCAACAGGACTTGGCAGTGAAAGGGAATAGTCACAGGTGACTTTGACTTGGGTTATGAATCTCAGTGACTAAGGGGATCATGGTGCCCTCAACAGCAATAAAAGAAGGGTGACGTACAAGCTTCTTGAGTAATGGAGGGCTTTTTTTCCCTTTCATATCACCAATGCCTTGAATACAGTAGGTGCTTAATAAATGCTTGTTAATTTGAAAAAAAATTAAGAGATAAGACAAGGATAAGTCCAAGCAAAGTACTAGAAGATACTCAAGGAGAGAAGGAAATCACTTTCACATAGGGGAGGGGAAACGAGGAAACTTTTAAGAAAGTAGCATCTCAGGTGAATCTCAAAGAAAGGGAGAGACTTTGTTCCTTTTTTTAAGGGGGCTGAAGAATGGGAAGTTGGGAAGGAGTGTGATCCATTCCATAAATAGATGATGCTGTGAGTAAATGCATAGATGGGAGTAATAGTAATGGTGGTGGTGATGGTAGTAGTAGTAGTAGTAGTAGTAGTAGTAGTAGTAGTAGTAGAAGAAGAACTAGTAGTGGTGGTGTTGGTGGTGATGGTAGTAGTAGAAGAACTAATGGTGGTAGTGGTGGTAGTAGTAGTGATAGTGGTAGTGATTGATGGTAGTAGTGGTGGTGATGGTATTACTAGTAATAGAAGAACTAGTAGTGGTGATGGTGGTGGTAGTAATGATGACATGATGGTCAGAACTAGCATTTTATATGGTGCTTTAACATTTGCAAAGCACTTTCCACTATTATTTTATCCTCAAACAACCCTAGGAGGTAGATATGCTTATTATTCCCATTGGATGAGGAATCTGATGAAGAAGCAGAAGACAGAAGCCAACTTCCTCACCCAGTGTCACACAATTAAGTATCTGAGGCCAAATTTGACCTCAGGTCCTCCAGACTCCAAGGCTAGCACTCAGTCCAATGGGCAGGAATATAGCATGTATGAGGTAAGGAGGAATAGGAAAAGGCTGGAAGAGCAGGCTGGATGTCCGGCTAAGGAGTTTGTGTTTCATCCTACGAACAATTAGAGACTACCCTATCTTTTCTTTTTTTTTTTAAGGCAATTGGGGTTAAGTGACTTGCCCAGGGTCACACAGCTAGTAAGTGTCAAGTGTTTGGTCTGAGGCCGGATTTGAACTCAGGTCCTCCTGACTTCAGGGCCGGTGCTATATCCACTGCACCACCTAGCTGCCCCCGACCCTATCTTTTCTAGAGTTAAAAAGTGACAGTGATATTCAGACATTTGTGGAGCCTGGATTGGAGGGAAGAGAGATTTGATGCAGTCGATTTCAATTTCTATGTTGAGAATAGCCTCAAAAAGGGCATTGGGTATTAAGTGATGGGGGGAAGGGGTAACAGCCTCATTCAAACAAGGCTAGGGACTGGACCTATGACTTCATTGATACTGTAACTCCCAAAGGAGGAAATTCCTCTACCTACAAAAGACAGCTCCTTTAGTCTCTGAGAATTGCCTAGAACACTGAGGACCTGAACCCAGGTCTTCTTGGCCCTCTATCTCCTACATCATCTTACCTTTCACTGACACTGGGCAGGGATGGGGTATGCTTGTAAATGTTTAACAACCGGGTCTCCAGGAAAAAATGTATATCAGACACACTTTTCCATTTAGT